TGGCTGGGGAGAGGGAGGTCTGGGCCTCCCTTCTGAAGCTGCTGCCCCCGCGACCCGACCCCGGATAGGCGGAAGAAAATGGATGGATGGATGGATGGAAATAATAACATGGTAATTAGGTGACTAAAAATTAAGTTGGCAAATTTTTTTTCGCAAATAGCGGGTAATTGAGATACTATTGAACTGTAATTGTAATAGAAGTACCCACTAAAATTAGTTCAATTACACAGTATTTTAATATGTTCTTACCAAGTAAATACAATTTACTGTAAGTAATTGTATAGTAAAATGTTATTACTTACCATGTAAATGCTATGTAATTGCATGGTAATTAGGGGACTATAAAAGAAAGTTACTATCTATTCTACTCTGGTTAAGCTGAAGGCCAAACCACTGAAGGCTTTTGTAACAATTACTGGAAGATAAACTCCAGAAAAACAACATCAAACAGGTGTGGACAGGGATGAAGAAGATCACAGACTTCAACTCTAATGACAATCAGCCGCAAGGGGGCATTCTGTAAAAAGTCAACAACCTGAACTTGAAATTCAAAGGTTCAGTACTGGATCCCCTGCTGCCCCCACCCCCCAATCAGCCTACATCAGTCCCAGGTGTTGGCACAAAAAACATCATGCTAAGTGCTGGTACCAAAGAAAGCCACTCTATCTGACCTAAACAACTTTAGACCAGTTGTCCTGATATCACGTCATTAAGACTGTGGAGAGTCTGCTCATGTCCCATCTACAGTACAATCACTAGTAAAAATTGCTCTGGACCCTCTGCAGTTTTCCTACCAGCTTCATGTGGGGTTGGATGATGCTGTCGGCTATCTGCTTCAGCATGCTCACTCTTGCCAGAATGATGGTGGAGGCTCTTTTAACATATTTGATTTTTCACAAGCTTTCAACGCCATCTAGCCTTTTTGTGTCAAGCTGCTAGGGATCGGTGTCAGTGCATCTACTGTCACCTGGGCTGCTGATTATCTGTAGGACAGATCTCAGGGGAACATCCTGTCTGGTGTGGTGATCCCTAACATAGAATCACCTCAAGGGATGGTCCTGTCTTTGTTACTATTGTATCTGTACACCTCAGACATTCAGTACAATTCTGAGTTGAGCTGCCTTCAGACTATTTTGATGAGTCTGCTGTAGCGGGGTGTATTAGTCATGAACGAGAACTGAAGTACAGGGAACTGGTGGACAACTTTGTTGACTGACTTACAGGAATCATCAGTGAAAGAGATTAAGTGCAAAAATGGCCTCTATTGGAGAGTTCTAATGCCAAAGCCACTGTTAAACCAAGAAAGAACACAAACACATTTGCCAAACAAAAAAACATCTTGATGATCCCCTGGACTTTGGAAAAATATTCTGTGAACTGACGAGTCAAAAGTGGAACCTTTTGGTTCATCTGGCATTAAACTTGAGAAAAAGAACATCATACCCAAAGTAAAACATGGGGTTGGGGTTGCTTTGCTGTTTTAGGACCGAGAAGACGTGGCATATATTTTAGAACCATTGTTGTGAATTCTGTCCTCTACCAGAAAACTTTCAAGGAGAATGTCGAACCATCACAGTTTGTGATTTTAAGCTCAAGAGTTTAGGACAATGATTCAAAGCACAGCAGCAGCGTTCCTCCACAGCCATGTGAATACCCCATTGCCAGCCATCGCAAATGCTTGATTGCAGTTGTTAAAGGGCACATAACCAGTTTTGGTTAGGATAGCTTTTTTTCTTAATATCATTTATCATTGTCATATCAGCTGCTCTTTTGCAGGGGTTGTCACAGTGGGCAAACTTGCATGAAAGATTTGGCAATTGTTTCCACCTGGTGCCCTTCCTGGCACAACCTGGGCTTGAACCTGCAACCTCAGGATTACGAGACTGAGGCACTAACCACCGAGCTACTGTAACTCCTATCATATATCATCACATGCATATAATCATCATTTAAAAAAAATACTTTTGTTTTTACTCAGGTTGTTTTTTTGAATCAGATATTTTCATTTGTTTATTCATCTGAAATGTGCAAAAGTGAGAAAAATGCTAGAACAGAATAAATCTGTAAAAGGGTGAGTACTTTTTTCACAGTATTGTACATTAGATAATTGCCTTTCACTGAGTCGTGTTTGCCAGAAATGAGGAACTGTTTTAATGAGCTGTTTGGGGACCAAGTAATTTATCTGTATGTTTAAGTTTTAGCAGACATTCTGGCTCTAAAGAGGTACAGTATATTAGGAGTCATCGTGACATTGTCACTTTGTTTTATACCTTGTTATTTCTCAGTCTGCAATAAGAGCCGTCTACAGGGGCACTGACTGTAATAAGAGTGTTACTCAAACCTTTTTGCAATTATTCAGACTTCTGCAGTAGTTTCTTCACAGTCAGTTGGAGTTGGTAAATGTGTGGTCATCTTCTTTCTCAATGGTTCTGCTACTGTTAGAGGTATCAAAGTCGACCTCTAACATCCTGAAATCCACCTTGAGCCCATCAGAATCATTCTGTAGCTTTGATCAGCTGCTGAAACTCTCCTTGGTTTCAGTACCTATTCTAGATCAGATGGACTCAGTGCTTTATTTTATTTTTTTCCCCTGCAAAGAAGTGAAAAGACCACAATGTCATCTTCACTGTTTAACGATTCCATTTTAATTCACAGAACACATCTGACTCAGTGTGCAAGCTTTCAGTGTGGAACGATCTTTGTTGCCTGATGAATTTTAATAAAACACATGGAAAATACAGACTCAATGTGGGAAGACTCATTAAATTGCTTTCAGGAACACACACGGTGAAGCTGGTGTGGTATTAGCATCCTGCTCATTGTGTTTTCCTACCAAACATTTGAACTTTTTAATGAAATGGAGCTTCTACAGTCAACGTGTTTTGAACCTTCAGAATGAACACCTGCTATCTAAAGTCTCTGAAGTCCTTATCTCCCTCAGTGAGGCCCTCCTCTTCCTCATCCTTTCCCCCACCCTCCTTTCCACTCATTCTGCCTTCACTCCACAGACTCACACGGCCCGTTGGGAGCATAAGAATTGCGAATTCAGACTTTAGCATTTAGCTCCCATCTGCTGCAGGAGTTGAGCTCCCTACTGAGGACTGTTGTTATCCTGCTCTTTTTTTTTTTGCAAGTGCACACACACACACACACACACACACACACACACACACACGCTTTTTCATTTTGCCAGTTACTTCCCTTAGAGAAACATATTATGAGATTTTCTGAAGCCTCCATGTAAGCCAGCCTGATTCCGCACCACTTACTCTTTTAAATGTCTGTTTGAAATGATACAGCGCTCCAGTCCACCTTGTAGGTTTGAGTTCACAGCTCAGCCAGGGAGACCTCTTCATCACTCAATATTAAATTGTCAGGAAGTGGCTCTGACATATATTAATTTCATCTGGGAGGAGGTGATGGATGAAATTTCCTTTATGATTTTCCCAACGCCCCCCTGGTGGGGAGCATGCTGCCAGAACAAAGTTTAATAAGCTGAGAATCTGGCGCTTACTGCCGACAACGTTTCCACACAGCTCAGTGGTGCTGATAAAACACCTCTGATAAATAACATTTGCTCCAGTGGTCTCTTTAGACTGTGTGTGTTGGAGCAGACACACAGCTGGCTGCCCAACGTCTCTGCAGTCATGCATTATTGTTTGCTCTTATGGATCTTACTATGGAAAAAAATAAAAAAATGAAAAAGGTTCTTCAATAAATTTTGTGGTATGACCGAAAGCAGGTCGTTTGGGGACTTTCTAAAAATACTAATCAATTTGAAGTCCTAGTGTTTCTCAGAAGGATGCTTGTCATCGCTCATTCTAGAGCTTTAAACCAAGATCTTATTTTGAGAAAAGATGGGGATGTAGCCATTTTCACCAAACCTGGAAAGTAATACGTACATAATATCATAAGGAGTCAAAGGTACACTCTGCATGAATATTTGCATTGTGTTGGATCTAACCTCAGGTTTGCAGAGTTTACAGCTGTCTTACCTTTTAGTCAGAGAGTGGTGGTTTTGATTGTTTGCAAATGGGAGCTGTGTATTGTGTTGATGAAAGAAATCTATTTACCCCATGTCTTTCTGTGGCAGGTCATGGTGTTTGTGCACGCTCGAAACGCCACAGTGAGGACCGCTATGGGCTTGATCGAAATAGCAAAGAATCGTGGGGAAATATGTTTCTTCCAGCCAGACCAGGGTCCAGACTATGGCCATTGTGAGAAACAGGTAAAAAAAATCAACTTTTACTGTTTAATGCCGTTAGAAAATGCTTTTCAGAAAAAAAATGTGTGTATATATATTTTTTTAATTTATTTTTTTGTAAAATTGTAGTGAAATTAAGTTATGTTTTTTAATTATTTATTTATTTATTTATTTTTAGAAATGTTTGCAGAACAAACTGGTGTAGTAGTTCATCCTTCGCATGCCTGTAACTAATATAAACTAATGCAGTTAGCACTGTCAGTATCTATACATTGTTTTTAGATTATTTTTTAAACTGAAAATCCAGTAACAATTAGGTTATAACATCAAAAGTAATCCCGTGAGTGCTTACTAATGAAGACATGTTCATAATTATCAGTAAAAAATTTTTACAGTTAAGTGCTTTTTTTCTTGGCTTTTAAAGGAAAAATTAAACAAAAAGGTACAAAATTAGCAACAGCACATGTACATCTGACAGAATATAAGGGATCCAACTGATCAGCACGCTTAAACCCTGAATCTACTTTAAGGTGAAATAATTAAAAACCTGGCATTCCTCAAAAGATGGGATATCACCCATCATCTTTCATCCTAGACTTTGACTAAGATTAATTTAGTGCATAATTAGAGAAGGAGCGTTGAAGTCATTTTAGTCAAACCTTAAAAATAACATTATGGACCATCTCATGTTATAGTTATTTCTGTATGTTTAAGGTCAGTTGTCTCTGGTGGCTGTCTTGATTCAGATCTACTCCAAACAAACTGTCCATCCAGTGTTTACGCATAACAAGCCTTATAAAAATCCATCCATTGGTTCAGATGATATTTTGTTAACAGAGAGGTCTTCACATTTTAAAGTAAAGATGCCGTACATAGTGCCAACTTAGAGCTCAGGTAAGTAAATTTAGGACATGAAAACACATTTTTTTATTATTGTTTGCATTCATTCCGATTTAGTCTCTTGGAGGAAGCTGCTCCAGTTTGGAGAGCACTGGAAGTCTTGATTTCCAGATTATTATCTGTGTGCCTAATAGACTGGTAGTTTTAGTGGTATGTTGAGGAGAAAACACCGATGGTGAGTGTATGTAATTAATGGTCTCTGAGCTTTGAGAGTACACAGAGGTGGAGCTTTATTCTTTCTCTGAGGACAGTCAGTCAGACTCCAACTCTCGTATTTAAATCTCTTGCAACAGAAGGCGGAGTGATAAATTTAGTAACCTTTTCCTGTGTTCCCTGGGGCTGGGCCAAGATTGATGTGTCTCTAATCTCTTCTCTATTTAAATGGGATATGTATACAAATCAGATCACTTTTCATGCTTTGTAAAACTGAAAATACAAGCAAGAGATTACCAAACTAAAAATGGCGCCTTGTGACCTGGTTAGATTTTGAAACTGTACTTTAAAACTAATTGTGCATCTCTGCACAGTTGGTGCACAGAAATGACTCTTTCTATTAAAAACTGAATAGTATCCTCTCCATAAGTTCAACTTTATGCATTTTTTTAGTCCAGTTTGCACTGCCAAAGCAAGGGGCATCGGGCAGACTCCACTCCGAACTCACACAGAGATAATGCGCTGCTTATTTGCTCTCTTGAAATTGCCCCACATTAATATTTATAGATGTTTTTAATCTCCAATATACGTGTGCAGTAAAATAATGCCCCTCTAAGGTCACTGATATAATTTAGCATTTATTTATCCAGCTTTAGATTATTTATTTTTTTCTGTGCTGTCCATGTTATTTAATTGGCTTTATCTCTGGGGTTGGAAAGGCTGTCAGTCAAGCTTAGATATCTGTACTCACCCTCTTGAGTCACTTTTTAGTAAGTACAGTTTTTCGCTCTCGCTCTTTCTCTCTGAATTGATAATTACAAAGTACTTGAGTATAAAAATATGAAACACTTAGAACAAATTGCAAAAATGCACATATTTGTACATTTAATTTGTAACAGTGTGGGTGTGAAGGGTAAAAGGTAAAATGCGAAGCTCTGGATACAGCACACAAACCACACAAAAAAGACGTTTTAGAAGCTCCAAAACTTTTTTTAAACTTGGTTACAAAATGGAAAAAAAACCTTTAATTACCACCCTTGCATTTTTTAAGGTGGACAGACGAAACACACTCTTTTGAAAAGAATGTCATAATACCTCCTACCTAACCTATGACACCAAGTGTGACAGATGCACCAACAATAACAACAACACTGATACAATAATGCTTTTATTTTTGCTGCAGACACCAGTGTTTTATTCACAATGCTAGGTTGAACTTTCTGTCCTATTGCTACAATGTCTGTTCCCCATCTGAAAGAAACATAGCTGTCGTAGGGGCTTGATAGGGTGTGTGGTTCCATTTGGAGGGCTCCTTATACAGTTTAATGATAGGGAAAACACTGGACAAGGCTGAGGAACTTTTACATTGCCATAAATAGAAGAAAGCAAAAAAACCCTACTATTACACCCAATAATCTACAGCCATGCAAGTTTTTATTACCTTACTAAAGTGTCAACAACACAAAAAAAGATTATTGCAGAATAAGATCTACAATATACATTAATCAAGTTTACATTTAAAAAAGGTGAGAAATGGTAATAATTTTAAAAGTCTAACACTGTGTCTGAAGAATTTAACCTGAAATGTTTTGAACATCATGAAGAAAACTCTTCCCTCCAGGTATACCTCGCTGGATGCTGGGCCTGAAAAGTGCCTGATATGTTTACATATTTGGGCTGACACGCATGAACACTAATTGTGCTGCTCTTTTGTGGTCTTATCTTTTAAGTACAAAAAGGTCCACTTCGTCATTATTCCACAAGAAGGGTTGAATTCTTGCTCTTGTTTTTGCCATCCTCATACTGTATTTTGTAAAGTAGTCATTGAGTGTCTACTGACAGTAACTTTTAGAGTCAGTCCAATTTAAGATGGCTGCCATAAGCTAAATGACCAATGCAAACTCAACGCAGTCAAATGAAAAGAAATTAGAGTTTCAATGTGCTGTGTGCAGTAAAAGATTTCACAAACCACAGGAAGGATTTTATGAAGCTGTTAGAAAGTTCTCACTGGATGTGCATCTTCAACTTATTCATCTTTGTTGTCAGCCCAATACAAGATGGCTGCCACAGCTGATTAGTCTTATCCAGAACAAAAATAGAGATAATTTAGTGCTACAGTTTGGTGTGGTAGTAGGTGAGTTATTCAAAACACACACTCTTTGCATAACATCTTGCAAGCTCACATAAGATGTTGTTTCAAGATTTCACTACAGCGACTATAACTTAAGTTTTTATTACCAGAAGATGATCTTAGTCTAAAACTGTGGCATGGAGGGTAGTGGGCAATATGCATTTCTTCAAGGAATTGTAGGCTATTTTCAACTTATTTTAATTGTTAAAAGAACACAGTTGAATCAGATCTATTTTTAATCTTTTGAGATGTCCTCATTGTTCTTTTTTTCATTGCTCCATTTGGGTTTATGTGGTCAAGACATCTCCTGGTCTCTTATTGTCCGTATCTTACGTTTTATATCACAAGCCATTTGTTTTTACATTTCTATTAGTGAGCTTCAAATACTTTGTATTATAAAGATCAGAATGACCCTCGTCAGGAGCTTTATGATGACAGAAGTTATCCCAAAAAATGTTTAATATTTCCTCATCCTTGCTGGAGCATCTGCTGGTGGCACGTCTCTGCCATCCATGTCATAGTGACCCTGAGTGCTCAGATAGGTCTGAAACTCCCCATCCATCCCCATCAGAACTGAAGAAGCCTTTTATGGGAGAGGTGAACTTTTAGGATCACATGCTGTGATGGTGGCCATGACAGAGGTCTAAAGACCTATTGGTAAACACATATGTTTTACCTAATTTGTAATTAAGCTATTTTTAAATACAAGTTCTGTTTTTTTTTCTTCTTTTTTTGTATTGTAAACCAACATATTTATTTATGGCTGTACTTGGAGGACTATTTCTATCCCTTACTTTTGTATCTTTTCTTAGAAAATGAAATATTTTGAAAAATAATAAAGCACAACCAAGTTATTCACAGTACTTTTTAAAGGATGACAAAACATCTATAATCAAAGTGAAATAATAAATTAATTTATTCAATACTTTGTGAATGTGGCCCAAGTCTTGCAGCTAAAATACCAAATGTAAATAATTATGTGAGTCATACATTTATAGGTTGTGCCAATATGGGAAGAATCTTGTGCCAGCAGGAACTGAATTTGAATTCCTCAGATTGAATCTGAAAGTGCATAATTTGAAATTGAATGCATTGGTTTGAAAATGAGTTTCACTAAATGGAAGCTGAATGAAATGGTTTGAAACTGAATTTAATGTTTAGAATTTGAATTAATTTGCTTTGAAATTGTAATACTAAAATGAATATTAGGAAACAGTACGTACGTACGTTTAAACAATGTAAGATCTGAATTTTGTGTTATTGGATGAGGAGTTCCTCAAGTTTCTGTGCTTGGACAAAAACTGTTTATTTTGAATGTGAATGGTTTGGTTAGTAGGAAGTGCTATGGCCACCCAACAAATATCCTTTCATCAGTTTAAATTATAAAAAAATGTATGATTTGGTTGAATATAGTATTTTATAAGTCATGTATAAAACCCATAAAAAAGATTACCTCCAAATATTCAGTTAAAATTTGTTAAAAGAGAGTCACTATACACTTAATGGAATGGAGATTTTTGTAAAACCTTCATTTCAAACTAGTCTGAAGGAGCACTGCTGTAATTCAGAGAATAGTTTTGTGGAACTGCCTTGATAATAATATAAACATTTCTAAAGCAGTTTATATGTTTACAAAGATAATTACGTTAAATTTGTTGGGAAAGTATGGATCCATGTAGTTTTTGGTGGAGATGTGAGGATGCCTGATATATTTTTTTTGGAGATTTGGAAATTGTAAATATCTAAAGAAAGATAAAGACTATCTCTCCTGGAAGATCAATTGGACAAGAATTGGGTTTAATTTTCATTCTGTTGCTGCCATCGTTGCTCTTCTTGGAGG